CTGAATGAAGATAGAGGATAGAATAGTTATCTGAATAAAATAAAAGGTGATAATAAAAAGTTGATCAATTACGAGTTCTATCGCAATATAATATAATATAATTTTACAATAATATGGTAGAATTTCGTCAGGTATAGTTCCGATAACCGAGAAACTTGGATAATAAAGGCTCGCATATCACTCTTACTCAGCTGGGTAAATAAGAGATAGAATAACAGCCGATGATAATCGAAATTAATCAATTACGAGTCCGATTAAACAGGTTCTACCGTGTGTATAATTATAACACAATATAGTAGAATTGGATAAACAAGAGATAGAGAGACAGTAGAACATGATAACAAAAGTTGACTGATTACGAGTTCTACCGCGTGTACAGTTTCACCGAGAAATCACTCTCTGTCTCGATCGTTTTCTCTCACAAAATTTACAGCGATCTCCAAAACTTGAGGCGCGACGAATCTTAGTTACACAGCAGTCTCGACTTTCCCTTTGGAGGTCTCTGCCCTGTTTCCCGAAGAATCATCGAGCGAAGGATATTACAAAGGACGCGATGAAAAAGAAATAAAATTCGCCAGGGCGAAGTAAACGGTCCGATCGTGTTGGCTCGATTCTTCGAGACTCGCGAGGAAAGGAGAAAAGGCGTTGAGAACGAAGGAACACCGGAGGAGAGGGGCTCAAGCAAACGAGAGGAGAAGGAAGAAAAGACAGAGAGAGAGAGAGAGAGAGAGAGAGAGAGAGAGAGAGAGAGAGATTAAAACGAGCGGTGTCGTGAGGGGAGGAAAGTCGGAGGCGCGCCTCCATTACTTCATTTCCAAGGCTGAAAGGTGCAGGACAATGGGACACCCCCGGAAGGTTGACATGACCGAAAGCCGCAGGATATCTCGATCGTTTCGAGTGTCAAGAGCTGAAACGAGACCGGGAGAACCGGTGACGCTGGACAAAAGGGGTTACGCTTCGTAAAGAAAAAAAAAAAAAAAAAAGAAAGAAAATATCGCGAGTTTGCTTTCTCCGTCTTTGGAGAGTGGTTTCTCCATGCCTCCTTGCCGCTGTCGATCTGCTGAACAAATCAGAAGTCATTTCGATAAATATCTAAGTTTAAACTTGACCTCTCGTCTCGTTGCGAATGATTTTGAAAAAAATTACGGATAATTTTTGATTTCATTATTGACGATGGAACCGTTGCTCAGAACGACGGGCGAACTTTAAAATTTTCAGTCGCTCGATCGTGCCACACACACACATACACACGCGACTCGCGTAATACCTCATAATTATTCAAGCGACACGACGCGTTACGTTACGGAGGAACAAAAGAGGGTACAAGCTAGATACGCGTAACACTGTAAATATTTATTGATTTTTAACGTTCGGCATTAAAAACACGCGATACCCGGTGAATATCGAGCGACACGCGGATTCACCGAGGGTTAACGCGACGACACGCGTTATATCACGCTTTCGAAATAGCCGCGGAACTTGCATCGCTGCGTTTGAAGAAATAACGACGCGCGGCGTGGAAGAATAACGACCCACCCGATCACGAGACGACGCTGTCCTCCCGTTCGCAATTCGTTTTGATTGAGGTATTTACGTGTAATCTTCGTCCGGCTGAGCGTACTCAACGAACGTGATCACTCGTCGACACTGTGATTTTTGCATCTACGTGTCTAAATTTAAATTAATTTAAAGTCTCCGGAGGTGGAATGTCAAAGTGGTCAGAAGGAAAAGGAAAAAAAAAAAAAAAAAAAAAAAACGAAAATAAAGTCACTCGTTTGTGAAAACAGAACGATGTTCCTCGTTCAAAAACACATCACGAACGATACTGCGAGATATTTCATACGAGAGGGTTAGAAGCGAGAACACAGGGATTTAATGTCGCGGTTAGAGTTTCACGTTCGTCGAGAAAGGGGATGATCGATTCCTTTTCAAAAGGGGATGATAAATTTCAATTTGCTGACCGAATCTTCGTCTCGGAGTCGGCGCGAATTAAATTTACCCACCGGTTCGAACACGTCGTGGAGAGCGGTCGAGGAAGAATATCGCGTGCAGAAGCCAGAGGAAGCCAGACGAAGGAAAGAGAGGAAAGGGGGAGAAGAAAAAAGGAGAAAAAGAAAAAAGAAAAAGAAAAAGAAGGAATCGTCACGCGTACTTGAGCGCCTCGAGGTATAAAAGGGGATGATTTGTAACCGGGGCATTGTTCGAGCTGCGGCCAATGACTGGGCGGCACATCCCGTATCGAGCCAATCGCGCGAGCGGTAGAACCTAACGAGAGGATCCGCTTTCAGACGCACGAGGTGCAAGTATCGTGGAGATGTTCGGTGGGGTGGTCGAGAGCAACCCCCGGTCTCTCTCTCTCTCTCTGTCTCTTCTCTCCAGTGAAACCAGATGCGCGCCGCTGGCTAACGCAGCGCGACGATCCACCATTATGTTTGTTTATTTATTATTAATAGGAAATTCATAACAATCACATATAATAGGAGCGCGCGTATAATGGGTTTTTGTCCGTGGACTGGTTGGCCGTGGCACCAGGTTCCCCCGAGTGTCGTCACGCTCGAGCTACTCCTCTCGGCACGGCACAATGCACGGCAGCTTTTCCCGGATATTCTCCACGCCTCTTTGAAAAATCCACCTCCTCGTCGTGTCTCGTCGTCGTGTACAACTCCGACTAGGAGACGACGAATTTCCTTTATTCGTGGTTTTATTCGGTCCGCGGCGAGCGCACGTCTCTCTATCCGACCGGTACCGCCAGGAAATTAATCGGCCCCGGACGTATCGCGCTTCTGTCGTTCCCCGACAGTTTCTCTCTCCGACTTTCCCTTCCACTCTGCGCGGTCCGACGCGCCGCCGACACTGCGGGGTGGACGTATAAATAACCGTCATCTATGGGAAAGGTGGCTCGTCCCCGACGAGAGTCCCTTTTCGCGCGGCAGCTTTCTCTCTCTCTCTCTCTTTTTCTCTTCGCGATTCGATAAAAACCAACGGCCGGCGGCGTCCGCTGTCCGCGTGAATCAAAATCGAGCCCCCGATAAAGACAGTCGATCACCGGTCGCACCGCGAGCCGTGTCCGGATTGAAAAGCGTTTTCGATTCGGGGATCGTGTCGAAAAAAAGGGGAGAGAGAAAGAAAGATAGAAAAGAAAAAGAAACAAAAAAAAACAGCGGCACGTCGAACGAACGGATGGGGGTGAACCGAAAAAGAGAACGTACCGGAAAAATGGGTGGTATCGAAAAATGGCGCTCGAAACGAGGACTCGACGCGCGATTTTGCGCGTTCTCCCTCGTCCCATGGCCGCTTCTGCTACTCACCGACCAGCCACCCCTCTTTTCAAACTTCTCCCCCTTCGCGTCATCCTCCCCCTCCCCCTCTCTATCTCTCTCTTCCTTTCGTCGCTCTCCTCTCCTCCCTCTCTTCCATCGCCGCGTTGATGTGAACTCAAGGGTGCAAATTCCCGCTCGTTCGAAATTCAGGACAGGAAATTAGACGGGCGTCTCCCTCCCGTAGAAATACCCGCGAAGCGTGAGAGATACGAGGGAGGTATGCCACCCCCTCCCCCCCTCTCCTCTCCTCCTCCTCCTCCTCGTCCTCGTCACCAGTGTCGTATCGTGCTAACAGCCTAACCCTCCTTTGCTTCGACGTCACCACCGATCAACCAACCACCTCCGCACCCCTACTCGCTCGTCATCTTCAATCCGCCGCGAACGCGAGCGCTATCCTTTTCAATAGGCTGGGTGGATAAGTTGGTGTAATAAGAGCGGCCCGGTTCTTCGTGCCCTTTTACCACCGCGGCAAAACCGCGGCGCGAACGTCGGCGAAGGGGGAGGTCGAGGTGGATTTTTCGACGACCGCTGCGGCGTAAGCTGATTCGCAAGACGATACGAGAACGTTTTGCGGCAACCGGGGTAAATAGAACGTGCCGAGATATGTTTCAGTTTGCTGGTTGATTTATTACGATAGGCGGTAAGCCAGAAAGCCAGGCCTTTCTCCTCCTCCGCGAGATTCCACCGCGTTCGTGCCTCGTTCACGCCTTTGGCAATTTTCACCGCGACGCGTTAACGAGGAATCCCTACGAGCGTTCGGATATACCTTTCCTGAGCAACCGTCTGTCTCGATTATTTGAACTTCACTTCGAGCGCTGTGAAAAAAATTGATCGGAAATTTCTATCGAGTAAATCAATATCGAATTATGTATATAATAAATAACCGTATTTAATTAAGAATTAATCGCGTCTTGAAATGAAAATGATCATCCAGTATTCGTCGACGACTGAAGGTCGTTTAAATGATTGAAACTGGCAGTTATTAAGTGACCGTCTAAATATCTTTTCTCCTCGAAAAATTGTGACGATGCAGAAAATATACTTTTCGTTTGAATGATATCGAAGAATATTTTTACTTTTCTTTCTCCAGAGTCTTTTTCAAGGTCGTTAGCTGTGTATTTAATTAACCATGTATTTCTTTTTATTCTATCTAATAAAAAGAAATGCGTGCAGACATGTAAAGATAACATGACTATGAAAATTTAAGTTTCACGTGTAAATTCATCTCTATCGTGATCGCAGTATAACAATAAACTCGCCTGACATCATCCCGTCAACTATCGTCGACTTTTATTTTCCGCATTTTTGTCCGAATTTTCACGCCATCGTTTTCTCTCTCACTTTCTCTCTCTAATTCCAAATCCCCGTGACAAGTTTTGACAGGGCGGTCCGGTTCATCTGATCTCGGGGATTAGGTCAAGACGTTGGCAGGTTGCCAAGAGGATTGGCCGTGTTTGGCCTTTCGAGACACTGGTCGCTTCGTCACCTCGTCTCCCTTTTTTCTCTCCTGTCGAATGCTTCGGCGAAAAAGTCTCGTCGTGCGGGCACAGGTCTCCGAAGGGTTGGCCGCCGATTCACCACGACGACTTAAGTCGCGGCTCGTGATCGTCGCGCGTGCTCCACCCGCTTGGCGTTTAATCCAATTTCCGAAATGCACTGACCGTTATCGTTGTTTTTCAGGTGGACAGACTCGGATACACCAGGGACGAGTTACCGTGGATTTTTCTCGGAACGTAACAATACGACTGGTTCTTCTCTCTGGTGAGTTATCATTCCTTTGAAGCTCGTTCTCATTCTTGTCCAGAGGTTGATGATATCAAACGTTATCTCATCTGAAACTGAAGAAGATCGTTGATCTTCACCGATATTTGAGATATGTTTGACCATTCTAACTAAGAGTTTAGAATTAAATTTATCTAGTTTTAGAATTTTTAATTCAGTCGAACTTCATTACTAATCCTTACTGCCCAGTGAATGTAAAGTACAAGGTGAAATTAAATCAGCGAAATTTTATTAATTTGACGCTAGTTAATTACTGTAGACATCTACAATTCAACGATATCTACTATTATATAAAGGTTTAGGGTTAAATTTGTCCAGTTTTAGAATTTTTAATTTAGTCGAACTTCATTACTAATCTTTATTGTCAAATGAATGTAAAGTACAAGGTGAAATTAAATCAGCGAAATTTTATTAATTTGACACTAGTTAATTACTGTAAACACCTATAATTCAACGATATCTACTATTTAACTAAGGGATGAATTTGTCCAGTTTTAGAATTTTTAATTTAGTCGAACTTCATTACTAATCTTTACTGCCCAATGAATGCAAAATACAAGGTGAAATTAAATCAGCGAAATTTTATTAATTTGACGCTAGTTAATTACTGTAGACACCTACAATTCAACGATATCTACTATTATATAAAGGTTTAGGGTTAAATTTGTCCAGTTTTAGAATTTTTAATTTAGTCGAACTTCATTACTAATCTTTATTGTCCAGTGAATGTAATAAGGTGAAATTAAATCAGCGAAATTTTATTAATTTGACACTACTTAATTACTGTAGACACCTGCAATTCAACGATATCTACTATTTAAGTAAGGGTTCAGGATTGAATTTGTCCAGTTTTAGAATTTTTAATTCAGTCCAACTTTATTACTAATCTTTACTGCCCAGTTGAATGTAAAGTACAAGATGAAATTAAATCAGCGAAATTTTATTAATTTGACACTACTTAATTACTGTAGACACCTGCAATTCAACGATATCTACTATTTAACTAAGAGTTCAGGGTTAAATTTGTTTTAGAATTTTTAATTATCACTAACCTTTAATACGCAGAGAGTGTAAAGTGCAAGATGAAATTAGATCAGCGAGATTTCTGACACGAGTAAATTACTGTAGACATCTATAATAATTCGACGATATCTACTATTTAAAATTATCGAATTCATTAAAATCATTGGACATTGAGTACCACAACAATTTACGATTAAATTATTTAATTTTGCTCAATCTCTTCGCGCTTTGTTACTCAATTTATTACTCAATCGCGAAGAATGTTAAACTATCTTATCGAACACGATTTTCATCATCTGATTGTTACCAAAGTATGAAACTCGCATTGAAAGTTGATTAGGAGAAAGCCGACAAATAGAAACGTTCATAATTCTCACAGATTAAAGATACTGACGATAATACGATAATGATTCGGCCGTGTACGCGAACAGAGGCTCGTTTGAAATTAGATAGCGATCGAAAGTCTTTTTATAGGGTGAGCGAGAGAGGCAAAAGTGGCGAATGATCACCGTTTCCTGAGATTTCGATAATACTTTCGTGGAACACGTGACAAGGGGGTCATAGAATCGACAGGAATCAATGACAACCCTCGAATGAAGCCGTTCCTCGATCACCGAGCCGCCAGCTGTGATTTTCTAACGAGCCTTTGATGGAATAACGCCCCATTCAATTTCCTTGAGTGCTCCCTCAACTTCGTTTCGCCTATCAGTTTTGGCAACGCGGTATGGATAGTTCCATTACTCGTCGATATTCCAATAAGCATGAATAGACAAATCTACGAAACCCGGGGATAATCGATTATTCACACTCCACTCCATCTCGAACGATCTCGTCGTAGAGTGTGTTGCGTGGTGAGAAGTTTAATAACCGTGTACGTAACTTAATCGGTCAATGTAACACTTCTTGATGATATTCGATAATATTATATGACCCCTTGCGCTGGAATGACGTGCCACGCACGTCGAGAATTTTTTGTTCCAAAATTGTAATAGTGTCTCAGTTTCAAGTATATTCATTACTTTAAAGTAACACGTTAAAGCAAAGCAAATAATAAATTTATTACTTCTCAATAATTTCTATCCAGTGATGTCATACCGGCGAGTTCAAAAGGAAAGCGACGAATTATTGTATACGGTTTTGGTCACTCGTTATGGTCCGCAATCAGTTGCCAGCGCACGTGGTTAAGGAATGGAAATATTAACAGAAAGGAAAACATTTTAATTTTATTTACGATACTGTTCAACTGTTGTTTAATTAAGTTACCTTTAAATGCTGTAAAAATATTTGGTTATGCTATTAATCTGAGAGGAGTCTTTATTCAATATATATTTAGTCATTGCACAATATAAGATGTGCCTGTGTTTTTGCATAAAATTTTGGGACCTGTTGGAATTTCCAAGGAAATAATTGTATTTATGATATTATTATTTAACACTCATTCAAAGTCATATTTAAAAGTGAAAGTTATAAATTATAATATTCCTGTTTCACAGAAAAATATACGAAAAGATTCCTTTTTGAAACATATTAGAATTTCCAAGGGAATGATGACATTTTCAACTAAATGAACATCGTTAAATATGTTTCCTTACATGTTTCAACGGTAATTAACTTTTTTATTTCTCAGAAAAATATACGATATACATGTCCCATCCAAAAAGCAAAATATGCTCCAAAATTTTGTGCAACTGAGTACGCAAAGGTCGTAATTTTTTCAAAATTATTCAATAACAGAATAGTCTATGTTTACAGTCTATGTGCAGGGTGTGAACGATTAAGTGTGTCGTGACACGAAAGTTCGCATGAAAATGCGTGATAAAATTATCTTAAACAGTCGGGGAAGTGACGCTTTCTATGCAATAATTTCTAATCGTGTTTCAACCCTTTATTGAATCCAAATCGGTTCAATTTCCATCACATACATATTTAGAAAACTGTGTCACCTATTTGAAAATCTTGAAAATATTCCGGAAATATAAATTTATGTGTTTCATGAAAATCGTTGAAAACGTTCACTACAAATGCAAGTTATAAAATTTCTATGGTGAAAAAAATTGACGGTTTTACAATCTAATTTGTGTTCGCGAGAAAGTATAAATTCAAATTTCGATATTACAAAAATAGAACTCAAGGTCGTCATTTCGTTTCTTTTAAGATCGTAACATGCTCTGAACGTATCTATACACCTACCTATATTACGCGACTGTTTTTCCTCAACTTTCTCAACATACAAATATCAAATATATACAGTTCAATTCATTTAAATTTAAACATATAAAAAATCCACAATAGTTGAATTTTCCTCGTTTCAAGGCATCCACCGCGGATTCGCCTAGGCGAGCAGAACAAGAAACCAAGGAGAAGAACCCTTTCATCTCTCGATCGAAATACCGGAGAATCGTTGAGAGACCGAGAACACAGATATACTCGATTACGGTGAAATCAGACAACGTCCAGCCAATCTAATTAACGTTGATTATCCGAAGCGCGTGCGCCGTGCGTTCACCAGTCGCCGGGTCCCTGGTAATTTCTAAGCGTTACACTTTTAATCAACGAGTCACGGAACACCGGCCAACCGTGTCGCGGCTTACAATGGACGATGGCCCGTGCAAACGGTCAGGAAGGGTGGCCCGCGTATTGTGCGTTGATTTAAGGACGCACAATCGTTGACAGTCGCCACCCATCTGCGATTTCGATGAAATTGACGGCGATTAAGGAACCACTCGGTCACGTTTCCGGATAGGACGCTGTAAATATCATCCGTAAACGATCGAATCGGGAAGTTTACAGTGAATTAGTCGTCTCGGGGTGTTGAACTCCTCTCTTTGAACACGTGTTCGAGTTCTACCGGTGTTGTCGGTATGCGACGATTGATGAGTTCGACCGAGGGAAAATTTGATTTATTTTTCTATTTATTTTTATCACTTCGAATTATTGTACAGGACGATTCACCTGTAACTTGCACACCTAAACTAATTGTTGAATTATGCGTATAGTGAAAAATTGTTCGATACAAAAGTTGTATGGTTTCAAGGGAGGCAGAATGTATCAACTTCTTGTCATTTTTTCTGTTTTTTTTTTTTTTTTTTATTAATTGGACCTTATATTTTTTTTCCATCACAAATCGAAAGAATATTAAATTCCAACTAAAAAAGTGTCGAGCCACATTGGTCTTAAGCCTAATGGTTAAGGAGATACTTTACGATAATTTGTCTTGAGAATGAAAAGAATATGGTCCAATTGAAAAAATAAAAATAAAAATAACCATGAAAATTTTGAAACTCACGAAATGTTAGTATCCAACAATCTTAGTACATACAAACTAGAACAAATCCTTAAATCTATTATTATCTACCATTGGATCATAGATACCTCTGGTAATTTAATGTTAAATTACAATTTTTCTTTGTATTTTACGCCCTCCCTTAGATTGTTAATAAAAGTTCCAAACCTAAAGCAATACCGAATAATATCAGTTGTTGCAATTACAATTGTATTATTATAATTGTAACCCAAATAGCCGAATGACGTCAGTTAAGGGCTCAACGTGTAAACCGATCGCCGCGTTAAATCGAATACAATTGGCAACAAGTAAACCAGATCTCATACGTTTAGCCTGACTGCCATACGATTTTCCACGTTCCTCCCCTCTTTGGCCTGAACGCCGCTGGCGCATCCGTGAATGCGTTCATTGTGTCGGGTTTAAAGTGTTGGTAAATAGACACCGATTACTGGCGTATCGCGTGCGCTCATGCGTGACGATACGATGCGTGTCGACCGTCGGTCAAAGTTCGAGACTCTTTCTTAATTACAGCTGCCTCGATACGGATTTATTGGGGCTCGTTACTTTCGCGATATGTTATGCGTGTTTGCTCGTTGCTCGTCTCGATTCCCGATAACGGCTAACATCGGAATATTTAATTTCGAATTTGATATTACATGGATTTCTTATCGAA